CCTCATAATTCACTGTTATGGGGACTTAGTATATATAAGTCTAATCAGGGAGATTTACTGTTTCAAACTTAGTGTGTTGTCACTTCCTGGAAGAAGCTATAAAGAGAATACTGTTGCTGCGGTGCAGTCGCTGTCCTTAGCAGGATGGTGCTGAAGAAGAGTGGCGTGTGGGACCTCACTCACTTGGGTCTCTCTACTTCCCCGGGCTTACGTGTCATTGCTTTGGGCATAGGTTGAGGATATAATTTTTGTTCTAATTATCAAATATGTTTAGAAAACTCCTATGAAAAAGATTAGTGCATTTGCCTACATTTCTGGTCTTTTCTTCTTCCTTCTGATCTTAAGAGTTCCTTCCATTATCATTTCCTTTCTATTTGAAGACCTACTTCTAGCCAGTCTTTAAGATGAGAACTGCCAGTGACTGGTTCTTTTACTCATCTTAGAATTTTTTTCCCTAAAAGATTGTTTTGCTATATGTGGAATTTACAATTGCCAGTTCTTTTCTTTCAGCACTTGAAAAACATGGTGCCACTTTTTTAGGTCTTGTACTTTCAGGTGAGAAATCCAGTGTTTTTCACGCTGCCCCTATTGGTGCTGGGGGGTTCCCTCTGGCTACTTCAAGACCTTCTCACTTTTTAAGACTTTATCATGTGTCTTGGCATAGATTTCTTTGGGCTTACCCTATTTAGAGTTTGTCTCTTGAATCTGTAGACTTGTATCTTCCACCAACCTAGGGCCTTGGGAAGGTTTTAGATATTATTTCTTAAACTGCTGTCTCAGCTCCATGCTCTTCTCCTTCCCCACCAGAACCCTGAGAATAATTGACCCTGTCTGAGCTACGTCTGCTTCTAGGCCAGAAGGTGGGAAACACTAAGTCTGGCATCTCTTGGGTGAGGGGATGCAGGATACCAGCTATTGTGTTTTCCCTCAGTCCTAGCTTGCTTGCTTCCTTCCACTTTGAAGAGTTCTTCTTTGGTTATCTCCTTCATTCTTCCCATCACAAACGGTTGTGCTGAGCAGAGAAGAGCAGGGGAAAAAAAGGACAAAGGGTGTTTTGTCTAGGCTAGAAGTCCCTTGCACATGTTTAGCTTTTGCTTTCCTTATATAAAAATTCATTTTGTACTTTATTTGCCAGAATTTACTTTTAAATAATGACATTGAAAAAAAAATAATGACACACTGAACAAGGTAAACTTAATCTTGGTAAATTTAGGTGAACTGAGATATATTAATATGTGGACACAACTCCTAGATTAGCACCTGTATATCAAAGTATGCAATGATTATCCAGTGAAGTGTAGTCATTATTATATGTCTAAAAAAGTATTCACATCCATTTTTATTCATTTTCTTCTTTCATAGAAGATAAGGCTTTTGCAGCTAGAGTGGTAGAGAATTTAAAATTACTTTCTTAAGACTTGATTTTAAACAGTTTGCAATCCTGTGTGCTCTGAGGGAGTGTGCAACTGTGTATACACTAGATGGGTAATTATGTAAGTTATTCTATTTTCCACCTTAGTTTATTTTTTTTAAAGATTCATTTATTTATGCATACAAGTACTGGGATGTAAGCCAGAGTTGCGGTGGGTGAGAGGATTCACCAGAGATGGAGTGGGGAGCAGAACAAGCAGATCCACTGAATACACTCTGAGGGCAGCAGCGGGCGAGACAGGAGAGGTCTGCTGCACCATGTGGGTTGCTCCCTGGCCAGCCTGGGATGGAACTCACGCTGCAATAGCTGGCAATAGCTTGATAACGCTGTCTTTAACACCTGTACCACCAGGGAGGCCCATATTTTCCAACTTAAACAGGGCAAGCAGTGTTCTAAAAAATAAATTCTTAATAATTGACATGATTGTGAGGAACCACAGGAGAAACCACTTCCAGACAAAGACCTACACCCAGAAAGTCATGTCCCCACAGCACTACACAAGGAGGTTTAGTACCAGCCACACTTTTAAATGAAAATTTCATTTTGTACACTAATATAAAAAATTAATTTAATGTATAGTTTTGCTGTCTCCTTCCCTTATATATAGCTCAATCCTAAACATTTACAAACTTATTGATGTGAAAAGAAGAAAATCTACATGATACTGAAAACATAAATCATTTTTCCTAGTCACTTTGTTCTCATGACACGCATCAAACAGCCCACAGTGACTTTGCATGTCATGTAAAGGCGAAACATCTTAATTATTAATTACACTGTGGTTAAGTATAGAAACTGGAATGTTGACATTAGAGACATGTTCAATTTTTTAAAAATATATTTAAAACACAAAACCTTTTCTACAAATAAACTCTGTAGCAACTCTGATTTTTTTTTTAAAGATTTATTTATTTATACAAGAACCGGGGTACAGGCCAGATGTGCGGGAGGGTGAGAGAATTCACTGGAGACAGAGCAGGGAACAGAACAGGCAGACTGATGAAATACACTGCTGAGGGGAGCAGAGGGTGAGACAGGAGAGGTCTGCTGTGCTATGTGGGACCCTCGCTGGCCGGGATCGAACCGGTGCTGCAGAGACTGCGGACAGCTTCACAGCGCGGCGCTCAACCGCCTGCGCCATCAGGGGAGGCCCGCAACTCTGATTTTAACTTAGAAAGATCATCCACTTACCGCCCCTTTCCCCAGGCCCCTCCTCAGACTATGAGACTGTTGGAGCCTATTATTCTGATGAGGAAAATGAGAGTTTGAAGAGAGAGATTCTAGGGAAGCCACAGAGCTGACATGAAGGTCGTTGGTGGAGAGAGTGTCCATAATGATACCAGCTCTGGGTCTTTTTTAGTGTTTTCCTCCTTGGTGGCATTTTCTTTTAAATCTCCCATCTCTCTCCAGTAATAAAACCAGCCGAAAATGTCCGCCAACACCATTAGTTCATATGTTGTTTATTCAATGAGACCTGTATCTGACTGCACGTCAGCCATTATTGCTCTCTTGCGCCGCAAGTCAAACTGTACTGATATAATAATTTAAAAAAAAGATGTTATATTAGATAATGAGAATAAACTAAATAAAAAAACAAAAATCTCTGCTTTCCAGTAACTTTCATTCTTTGGAAGAAGAAAGGGAAAAAACAAATATATACTGTCCCACACAGTTGTTAATGAAACAGGATGAGGGGGAGGTGGAGTGGGGGCGCTGTGTTGGGTAGGGCAGTGATGCTTGGGTTTCCTGGTGAGGTGAACATTTGAGCAGTTTGACAAAATGGAGGAATGAGCTATTCTGCTGTCTGAAGAGAGAATGTGCCGGCAGGGGAGACGTCAAGCACAGAAGTGCCCTTGGTCAGCGCTCGGGGCGCCTGGGTGGCCTCTGGAGGGACAGGATGGGCGGTGCAGAGCTCAGCTGATGGCAGGTAGAGGTCTTGAGTTTGAGGGTTGTTTTTTTTTTTTTTTTTTTTTTTTTTAAAGATTTATTTATTTATTTATTTATACAAGCACTGGGTACAGTCAGAAGCGCGGGAGGGTGAGAGAATTCACCAGAGCCAGAGCGGGGAGCAGAGCAGGCAGAAGGACCGAAGCACACTGCTGAGGGGAGCATCGGGCGGCAGGAGAGGTCTGCGCGCCATGCGGGACCCTCCTCCGGTGGCCGGGGAGCAGCTGGGGATCGAACTGGCGCTGCAGAGGCTGCGGGCAGCTCGCAACCCAGCGCTTAACCGCTGCGCCACCGGGGAGGCCCGAGGCTTGTTTTTTTAACATGTCTTTATAAATAAGTAAGAAAATATTGCCAGGTTCTCAGTGAAACCTCTAAATAACTCACAGCTTACCTGGCTTCTGAGTCGTCCAGTGTGAGGGCATCCCGCGCTGACTGTGATTGTAAACTCTCTGCTGCTGCTGGTGCAGGTTGGCCTAACCCTCATCTAGAAGAGAAGTCAGCCGTGCCTGTGATGTCCTCCACACAAAACGCTGCTTAGGGTCAACTGACTGACTTACAAGCTGTAAAATGCTTTTGGGTTATTATTCCATGAGGAATGACATGGGCTTCCAGGTAGGTTTTGAAGGATCTGAGAGATCCCGGTGAGCAAGAATTACCAGTAATTTCATAGGAATACCAACTTCTGTGAAAATGCAGAGTTCCTGGTCTGACTTTTGCAGATGGCTTCTTAGGGTCAGAGCTAAAATGACCACTGTATGAAGTGTTGTGGAAAATTGCATTCGTACCCACAGTTTGCAAAGAGAGGTCCATCCTTGTTAGCCTTTCAAGGTGTCATCTATGTCGAGGCCCCTGTTCCAAGAATCTGCATTGAGAGAGGCGAGGAAACAAGAGAACCAGGTTTTGGCTTTCTTTGACATTTAAAACTTTGTGAACTTAAAATAGCAAGCCTTTTCATCCATGGAGACATTGGAGAGATGATTTGTTTTAGGACGGCCTCATTGTAAAGGAAATACCAGTTACTCAACAAGAGGAAAAAAATGAATATTTTATATTTTACGGAGTCTTCTTTTGCATTAGTCATAGAGATGTGAGTAAGGGATATTTTACTTTATTTTGATGTGTAACGAAAACCATGTGACAAGTGCACTTTTGTAAAGTTTTTAATTTCAAAATTGAGAGACTTTCTAGAAAACCTAGGACTTAGCAATAGTACTGCTACAACGAAAATTAGAAATGCATTTGGGATAACTGAAACTTTTAAAAAGGTGTCACTAACATCGGTTATTACAGTTTCAAATAAAACAATGTGCTGTGTCAGTCACTGATCTTTTTTAGTGTTCTGACATAGCATCTTAAGTGTCAATAAGCCGGTTCTATGGAAAACTGCTTGTTTGAATTAACTTTGGTAACCAGAGACTTGTTCTAAGCGATTTCGATATTTGAAATTGGGTGAGGCATAGAGCCTTGGAAGGTTTGTCTGTCTGGAGGGGAAGGGATGTTGTTAATTCTTCGGTGTATTGTAGGAGTTTTCCTGTGTTTTATCAAAATAATCAAATTTGCATTCTGCTCACAACCCCACCAGTGGCATCGCCAAGCTCAGGCCTGTGTCTTCTCCCTCCAGGTCTCTGTCTCTGACACTGAGGATGAGGAGCACAGACACGCGCTCTTCCTGGAGCTCCTGGAGTGCAGTCACCAGGAGGCTGAGTTTCAGCACTTGCTTTTACTCTTGCAAGCCTGGCCACCCCTGAAACATGAATATACGTAAGTATTAACATAAAACTGGCATGATTAGGTTTCTTCTGTCCGGACTTGAGTTTTAAAACTTCAGGACCTTCAAAAGAGCCAATGAAAGGAGTGTATAAAATCATTTTCAACCTTTAGAGGAACTTTAATAAAAAGCTTCCATTTCTCCTTGTCCCTAAACCCAAATATTTTATTCAGAAATACCAGACTGACTGACTTAGTAGTAATGTCTGATTTATGATGACAATAAAAGAATTTGTTGCAGTATTTTACCAGGAAAATTTTGACTGTCTTTTTATGCTCACTTGAAACTCTAGGAATAAATTGGTAATTTCTGTTCATTGAGAATTCACAGCGAATGTGACATTTACATGGACTGTCAGCTCACACACACACACCTCCCGGGGCTGCTGTTATCTAATGTCACTCGTGAGGGAATCGAAGCTCAGAAGTAAAGCAACTTCAGGTGTCACCTGGCTCCCAAGTGGAGGACGCGGGGCTCCACTGCTGCCTCCTTCCCGGCCCTGCCTTCCTCTGCCTCACGCTGAGTTTGCAGCTGTCACTCCAGATGCATCCAGTCATCACGCAGGCCTTGTGCTGTCAGCCAAGGATCCCGCTGGGAAGGGTGGCCAGGTCTCGTGGGGGCACATATGCTCTCTAACACGGGCTGCTGCTCCTGGCTCACAAACAGGAGGGGCCCCCCAGCCTCTGTTCTGAACGCCTGCCTGTGCGCCCCAGGCCTCATTCTTCCCAACTCACCAGCCCTGTGCACTCGCCTGTGCTTGCGTCCGCTCCCCAGATGTCAACGAAGCTCATCTTCCCAGTTTAGGGCCAGGGAAGACAGGACCTGAGCAGGCTGTTGGGAATTTCTGATGCAAACCAAGAAGGGTGGTGTTTTGTTTTTATTTTTTCTTTTAACCAGTTATTTTCAGAAAAGAGAAAACCACTTCTGAGGTTACTGTCACTGGTGGCAGAGATGGCATGCTGACATGCCGCTCTTAAGAACAGGTTCTTACGACTTCGTTATTGGAAATTGCAGTCATGTTCTCACCTCCTGACGCCTTCAGTTGCCCTGGTGACAGCGTAGCAACAGCGTGCCCACTTGCTTCCGGCCATCTTGGCAGAGCTGCCCAGTGCCTGGGCTGCCAGTGAAAACCACAGCTTGGTGCCAGGCTGGGTTTGCTGCATCCTGTCTCTGTGCTGGGCCTGGGAATCTGTTCTGGACAACTCCTAGGCTGTGAGGACGTGTGATGTTGGCGTGGCACCCACTAATTGGATTGTCAGTAGGAAATCGCTGGGGTTGAATTGCAGGTTTATTCATACCCTCCAAATGGATCTCAGTCTAAAGAGAACTTGGCACAGCTAGCAGGTTAGTTAACTGGCTCTGCAGTTTCTCATACTTTTAAAACACTGTTCCACAAGAAGCAAAATCAGCTCCACTTAGAAAGGTATTGTATTTCAAAAATTTAATGTATTTGTAGACTAAGTAGAGCCTTACTTTTGCAATCACATGTGAAGAACCCCACAGCAGGCTGAGTGTGCAGCAACACCTTGAGTCCCCAGGCTATCATCAAGGAGTCAGAGCTCCGGCCCGAGCGGCTCTGGCCTCACAGCGGCCTGTGCTCCTGGGTGTCTGCCCACCACCTGCACAGAAGGCCCACCAGCGCCTTCTCCCCGAAGATGTTGTCTTCTGCAGGATGGGCTTGAAGTCACCCACCAGCTAGGTTATAATTGCAATTGATCAGAAGCATTATGCTTAAAAAAAATTGGGATTTCTTTTCTGTTTTAAAATATCTTATCACAGTGATATGGCTTTCATCGTTTCCAATGCCCTTTCTCCTTAAACCAGCATAACCACTAATCCGTGGGCGAGACTGGCTACAGCGATGCTCACCAGGTGCACCGTGGAGAACAAGGACGGAATGGGGAATGAAGTGTTGAAACTCTGTCGCTCTTTATATAACACCAAGCAGATGCTGCCTGCAGAGGTGAGCGGGTGTTTCAGGCGTCTTTCCTGGGGGGCTTCCCCCCCTCATCCACACGCTGTATAACAGTATCACTGGCTGTGCTTAAGGCACATTTAGCTCGTAGCTCAGAAGGTAAGGACTGTTCGTAATTTGTAGCAGAACAAAGGAACAAACAAAGCAGAAAGGATGCTTCTGGGTCAGTTTCTCTTTGTTGGAGCTCTGAAGGGGATGCCTCTGACAAGTCCCAGCGTAGAACCAGTTTGCAATTCCTTGGGATGCCCTTTTATGTCTAACTCAAGTGTATGCTCCACGGGGTCACGGCTGCTCACATGTTGTCTGTCTGCACCAGGAGGGTGGCTGTCGCAAGTGGGAACCATGATTTTTACATACCATTGTAATCAGGTTGCATAACCACAGTTTTCAGTCTCATCCATTCTGACATTTGCTCTCTGTTTGGCCCCATAATTTGACTGTCACAGAGCATTTGTTTTATATATAAGTGATTTGTACATTCTAAAATAAGCACATGTTAATTACAGTTCCCTGCTGTGGATCTGACCTCAGCAGGGTGTTTTCTGAACAATGGCCACGTCTTAAACGTAAGCGTGTGGGTAACGGCACTAAATTGATTAATTGGTTTCAAGTTTCTACCACTAGGGGATAAACCTGAAAATAAATCATAAATATGATTCCTTGAATCCACATTATAGTCACTCAAAGAAAATTTTCTCATTATGAATGTACATTTCATGGATTGTTCTCTGAAGGAAAGACTGGCTGTTTTTTGATTGAATTTTAAGATATTTTATTCATTTAAATAATTCTTCCAACCACCAGAATGACAAAATTCTTCTATAAAATATTTACATTTCCAGCACCAAACCCCCCCTCCCCAACTCTGGTTGTGTCTGACGGGGGGCTGTGTACCCCGGTCTGCCAGAAGTAGCGGCTGTTCATGGCCGTCCCTCGCTGTGGGGTGCGAACTGGATGAGCCATGCCTGTGCGGTCGCCTGGCCCATGGCAGGACTCAGCGCACTGCGCAGGGAGGGTGCTCAGCACAGCTGCTAATCATGGAGAGTTGGTGAATAGCATGGAGTTCAACTTTGCTAATATCAAACATGGTCCGGTCAGGGCCAGACTCCAGAAATGTCCTCCAGTCAGTTGGCTCTGGGCCAGGAAAACCTTGTTGAAGACCTTCTGTGCCTACGTAGCAAGCTGGTGGCAGTGGCTGGCATTTGCCGGCTCTCTTGCGCTTTCACTTCTGTTGTCTCGTTAACCTCCCGCCACCTCTGAGGGGCTCCTACGTCCATAGTTGATACCAGTGATTCGAGACTCTGAGGACAAGGGTCTTGTTCCAGGTCACTCAGGCAAACAGGGACGGATCTGGCCCTCAAACACGCCTCTGTGCTTGAATGTTTGAAATGTGAATCTTTCCACATGCACCACCTTACTGCACTTGGTCGTGTACATGGGGACTGTCTGTCGTGGGCACGTGCCCACGTTTTGGTGTCAATTTTCCACCCTTTCCGTGACAGTTCCTTCAAGAGAGCCTGTAAAGGCAGGACTGGACTATCAATGTTAGAAATGTATGGTAAGTGACCATCTCTTGGCCACTGCCCGGATACGCTGTTAGTTTGTTGATAACACCCCCTTTGCTCGGATTACACTAGTTAGTTCTAAGGCAAGGCTGTAAGTTAGCTGAGTACATGGTCACCGCCTCTTTGACCCTGACCGCATACCAGGAGCTTAGTAATCGGGGCTCAAAATCAGTGAGTACATTGTCTCTTAGCCACCTGGAAATGGGCCGCAGGCACACCCGAGGGTGCAGCGCAGTAGAGACTCCTGTCAGCGCTACCTTTAAAGTCAGGCGAACCTAGGCCATGGAGGGAAAAGTTCTTCTTTTCATTGTGTAACATGTAACAAATTGTGCTTTCTGCTTCATTTACACACTTATGTATGCAAGCCTGCGTACATGTGTATATTTGTGATTAAGAAATTAAATATCTGTAATGATTCATTTCCCTCACATGCTTCTACTCCCATAGTGAAGTACTTTGACAATAGAGTAATACATTAAGTTTATTCACAGTGTTTGATCTCAACAGTTCTGCTCAGTGATTCCTAAGTATTTGAAGAAAATCAGTGCACACAACGCAACACCTCGAGCGGGCGGCTACGAACATGGCCCTCACGCCGCCCCTTTCAGACCTTTAGGGGCCACAGCAGGCGTAGTGCAGCCCTAACAATACCTGAGGTTGTGTTTTCTATTCTGAGCTGGGTCACAAGTGACCATGAGAAGCGTGCCAGACTCTCTGGCCTTCCATTTTCCTACCCCTGGAAAAGGGGTCCAATGGGTGTTCTCAGGGGGCACTGGCTCTGGTGCTCAAGGCCTCCAGGCCTGTGAGGAACATGAGCTGCAGCTTCTGTTCACTGCCCCTGACAGAGCACATCCTCCACCAGCTCTCAGAAGGCCAGTTCTCTTAGGGCGAGGAGAGAGGTGCTGGATTGAGCCCTATTTTGAAGTAGGTCATTATCACTTCTCTGTTTCAATACGATGAGATGAAAATAATCACTGTCAAGGAGGTCTCTGCCCTGTAACTTTATTTTCTCTATGCTGCCTTTTAATCATGGCTTTGTAAATAGTATGTGCTATTTTTATTGATCACTAAATGTGCCCAAATGTGAGCTTACAAAAAAAGGAACGTTATTATTACAAAGTGGAAATGTCTTGTTTATTCCACCAGACCTGGGAATTACAGTCTTGTGTCAGATATCCATAACATTAATATCACCGAGTGGACAAAATGATCTATGACTTGCTGTTCTTTGAGCCCAGTGCCTTGTGGTCCTCTCTGCAGCCTCTGGAGTGCTGCCGGCTGTGTCTGGCAGGACACTCACTGGCCCCAGCTTCTCCTTCACCCTGTCTCCCAGGCCTGCACTAAGTTCCCACAGGGAGAGTCTTTTTCTTCTTGAGTCATTAGAATGCCTGTCTGTGAGTGCCTGCTGCTGCCCGCGGGGCTCGCTTACTTACAGCCTTGGTGTTTTGCTGATGGAGACTAGCACCGGAAGGGAAGACCACTGTCTCCCAGTCTGGTGCCACACGCCCTGGTCGTGTCTCCTTCCCGGCTCTTGCCGTGGCGATAGATGAAGCATTCTCAGGTGTGGCCACCATGTAGACTAAGAAACCGGCATCAAACAGGGCTCTTGGCCTTTACAAATTTGAAATTCCAAGTTGTAGCTATTTTTGACTGACCCTGAAGGCCCATGATTTTGCTGAGGCACAGAATGAACTTAGTCACCGATGCTCCTGGGCAGAGGGTGTGTGGGCGCTAGGCACCCAGCTGATGAGGGAGCCTCACCAACCCCTGTTCTCCTTCTCCATGTGCTGCTGCTCCCTGGCAACCCCCAGCCAAAGGGACCAGGCGTCCCCATGACTCTCAGTCCACAGGGAGAACAAGCGCCCGGCCTCTGACGGGCTCGCATCCAGGCCGCCCTGCTCGCTTGGCCTCATTCAGGCGCTCTGTGTCCTCAGCGGCCAGACGGGGCCAAGCTGGAGGGCGTCCTACAATGAGCCTGTGGTTCCCGTTCCTGCTTCAACTTCTTTGCAGCTCCGAAGTCCCTGCATAAGTCTCCTAATAAACTGTTCTCTTACACAGAGGGAAATAGCTGACAGACGCAATATAGTTTTAAATACAGAGTAAGTATTTAGTCAATAGCCATTAGCTAAGCGATAAGAGTCCTCGGTGCTCACATGAAATGAATCCCTCCACCTCAGGGGCCTGGCCTGGCTGTGAGCCCTCTGTGAGTCCTCTGTCCACTGTGCTGCCCAGCGGGGGAAGGTTACTGCAGAGGTTTTCATCGAGACTGAGGTCAGCCAAATGATACACCTGGACTAAACCCCACCAGTTACCAAAAGTGCTTGTTTACTAATTTACCAGCAACCTGTTGACTGTGAAAACGTGTTAACAGAGACAATTTTATACAAATATTTTTAGATCTAGTGTGTACCAAGTAAGTGTAGAATGCAGAGAAGGAAGTGAACAGAGACAAATGAGTGATCACGATAGTGTAAGAGGATGGTCGATGCCGGAGACACCTGCACAGCACGTTCAGAAAATAGAAGCCTGGGCTGGGAAGCCAGGGACACCTTTGCGGGAGGTGGTGTTTTCATGTCTTTTCAAGCTGAGAGGCTAAGGAAAAGTAGTGGTTATCAGAGAAAGAGCAAAGGCGAGGTCACACGCGGATGCCGTCGCTGCGCTGCCCAACACGGTGCCCATGCCGGTGCTGAAAGGGGGGTGTCCCCAGTGGAATAAAGTAAAGCCGTGGTTCCTCAGTTGCTCCCTCGTGCACGTGGCTCATGGGCAGCTCTGAGCAGGTGCAGGTGGAGATCTTGGCAGTGACGTGGGCACAGGGTGGCATGTGGCAGCCAGCCCAGGTGCCTGCAAGCAGGTTCATAGTCATCCACCCACATGCTTCCTGCAGGCCCGGGCTCCCAGATCACACATGCTGGGGAGGCTCCTCCGTGTGGCCCTGTCGCCTGCAGTAGAACTCACAGTGAGACAAGCGCCCACCTTCCACAGCCATCACCCCGCTGATATCGATCATCCCTTCAGTGTCTGGCACAGCCTCTGATCCGACATTGGAAGGCCTTGCTGGCTTCCAGCAGAGACCTGCTGGGTGAGAGCAAAACTGTAAAAAGTAGAATTCCACAGAGACCTTTATCCAAAGCTTTAAATAGGAGTTTCTTTGTGTCATCCCTATTTTATCTGCACTTTATAATTCTATAAAGGAATTATGAAAAGATCATAAACTTGAATTTTTCTTCTCTGATAGGCTTCTCTTCAAGAGGGAGATCAGTCCCTCCGAGGGCACTGATTCTCAATCCTTTCAAAAACAACCCTTCATATAATGAGGGTGCGCTCATTGTCTGGGGTGGGATCCACGCGGGCCCCCCAGCTCAGCAGGGAGTGTGCCTTGGAAACCGCTCTCTGTGCTTTCATGCTTTGTTGCTGTGATGATCGTTTGTCGTCATGAGTGAATGTCAGCTCTCTGTGGCAGGGCCAGCCAGTGTTATTAGGGGCTGGGCAGATTCACATGCTCCTGTGGGAGCCACGCATTTTCATTTTTCTGGCCCACAACAAGTTTCCCGGAAGCTGGAATATCCTGAGTGTGTCAACCGTTATGCACTCTGGCAGTGTATTATAAACAGATCTTTAAATATTTGAATTGCTGATTTCCTTTGTTGTGGTGGATGATAACTAGATATTGTTGATAATATTAGCAATTGATAATTGTTTTTATTGCTTATTAAGCATCCAGGACATGCTGCATATTGTGTACTGTTATTCATTAAGGCTTATTTTCACATACACAAAGTAAAACACTGCAAAGTAGAAATAATTGCCTCCCGCACTCAGAGTTTAGGAAACTACATTGCACTGCTCTCCCCATCCAGTGGAATACTGTGTACCCATGAAAGCAGTGTCTCGGGTGAATACCTGAGAGCTTGGAAAGGTGTTTGCACCTTACTATGAAGCGAGGGAGCAGGTACAAACACCCCCCCCACCCCCACGCTCTGACAGGAGGAGGTGTGGAAAGAGCCCAGTGGGCTCCAGGAGTGCGGAGCCCTCCCCGCAGCCCGACTCACGCTGTTGCGTTGTGTTTCAGTGTGTGCGGGACCTGTGCTCGCTGCTGCTGGACCAGTCCCTTCTGCTGCCAGCGCTGAAGCTTCTCCTGGAGAGCCACGACGAGCACCTCCACGCGGTGGCACTGGAGCAGATCTCGGCTATTGCCAAGGTATTCTGGGTGGATTTCTCTCTCTCTGACGGGGCAGAGGGACGAGGGAGCATTGTCCTTCTCATCTCCAATGTCCGCCGTGATTTATCTCAGACCATCTTGCCTACCAGTCTCAGACCATGTAGCTGCATATGTTGTCTAATAAGCAGGTGCTTGTGTACTTCACACACATCTGTATGTCGGTGTGGAGAATACAGATCCAAATAATGGAAGTGTTTCTCCAGAGAACCAGGGCGGTGGTCTTTTAAGGAGAATGTCAAAGCAACCTAGGACTGGAACACCAGCCCTTGCACTCCTAGCATCAGGAAGGTTTCCTGTGGGACGCGTGTGTTTGGTTATCTCCTAATTAAAGGTGAGAAAGTGGCTGCGAGTGGCGCCTTTGCTGGCACCATCTGAAATCTCACACCCGATTTCCTCTGGCAGCCGAGCCGAGCCTGCCCTCGCCGCCGCTTCTGCACTAAGTCAGGGCTGGAGCGTCCTCCCTCAAGGCTGCTTGTCTTGTTATTGTGATTAAGGAAGAAACTTTCAATTCCCTTTTAAAGTTTTACACTTTAGGATTGGATCGCTCAGGGTTGTGTTTTAATGAATTCTCATGTATGATCCTCGCTGAATCCTTCTGCAGGGAGATCACTCTCTCATCTCAAGTAGTTGTGCGCGCGTGTCGGTGCCCATGCACAGCTTTGCATTTTATTTCTGAGTGCGTGTATGTTTGAGTGTGTAGGTGCATGTATATACACGCACATTTCTTTATCATATATTTTAAGCAAAATGTAAGAACGGAGACACGTAACGTCCTCTGGGGACTGGACTGGGGTGGAGAGCCTTGGAGCAGAGGCACCGGCTTTCCCCACGAGACAGGGACAAGATTGATGAAAATATGTCACGGATATAAAATTTTGTTAATAACAAAGGATATGGCAAGCTCTATAAATGGTTACAGAAAGGAAAACATAATTGCATTTAGAAACAGTCGTGAAGAACAAATGAGCATACTCAGATGCCTTTCTTCAGTGCGATGCAGCTTTGAAAAAGGGGAGCTTTTGCAGAGAGATTGTGAACACCCTTCATTGTCACTGATTATCAGTCATAACGGGGCCCCTGGAGGGAGGCTGCAGTGGGGAGTGAGGGGATTTGGCTGTTGGTTGCTTGTCTTTCTAAAGTAAAACTTGTATGACCTTGGGAATTTACATGAAACTAAGAAATAAATTTTTTTCTTAGTCAATCCCCCCTCCGCTCCCCCCGCTCATGCCATGGAATGAGGAAGGAGGGAAGGCTGATGAAGTCAGGTGGTGTCCTTTTCCCGGTCCACTGGGTCCCCTGGGGGCCCTGGCCCAGCACCACTGGGGGAAGGGCTGCCCCCCCCCTCCAGTGCCATAGATTGCTGGGCCTCCTGGTGAGAGAGGCCCCTCTTGATGAAATCAGCACCCTTCATCCTGGACATGTGGACCTCAGTCCTGGCTGGCAGAGTTGCCCAGAATTAGCTAGAGCCTCTTCCACACAAGCCCTTTTGTAGGGGCTTTACCAGGTACACAGCAGGCAGGGGTGCCGGGGTCCGGGAGGCTGGCAGGTCTGCCAGCCCCCAGCAAGTCTTCACTCTTTCTGGGCTCTCCGGCCTTTTCTGGTGGTCTCCACTTCTCTGCTCTTCTCGTGGTCCTACTTCTGCTGGTATCTCTGTGACGCCACCCTTATAGGCCCAGTCTTAGCCCAGGTGAATCCCATCTACATAGGCCCACACCCCACTCCAGGTGCCCGCCATCAGGCATGCATTCAGGACCGCAGGGATCCATCATCTATCCTGATGGCAGGAGGGCAGAAAAGCCTGACACTTTTTCACTTACCCCACACCTTTCCTCTACTATTCTTGTTCCCGTGACATAAGCCACTGGAAGCACCGGCGTTGCTCCCAGTGGCCAGTGTCCAGGTTGGAGGGAGAGGTTTGGGAGCTTTCCCCTTAGCAGTTTCTCATTCTGTATTTCAAATCTAGTAATTCCCCTTGCTTGCTCTCTCCAGTTCACCAGCCAGATGTGCTATTATGGGACTGTTCTGCCTCCGCTTCCTTGATTGCTTCTCTGAGCGAAGGACAGCGTTGACGCACTAAGAGCCACAGGAGATTAATAAAACAAACAGGGATGCTGAGAAAGCAAAGCTTGTCCCCCCATCCCAATCAAAGAGATCAAGAACTTAAGAAGAAAAGGTGGGTGGGGTAGAGGGAGGGAGGGAAGGAAAGATCGACATTTAGTGAGACCCACATACCTTCCTTGTCCCTCTGAGTCTGTCGAGTTTGCAGGTAGCACCTCCCTGTGAGAGTCTCCATGGCGGCTCCGGCCGACGCACCGTCCTTCTTGCCTTGGCACTCCGTGGCGACAGGGAGAGGGGTCGGGCTCCTAACAACTCACTTGGTGTCTGCAAAGCCCTCCTGTGGCCTTCACCCTCATGTCAGTTGGTTTTCTTCTGTGTGGATCCACCCTCTTGGGCTCCAGTGGTCGAATCACGCAAAGCAGAATCAAGGAGGCTCCTTCCTGGGTGTCTCACCGACGCCTGCAGGTCTTACCTGGACCTCTTCTTAGAGTCACATTTCTTTCTGCTTTTTGGGGACCAGGCGCTTTTTCTCAGAATGCTGAGCATATCTACGTATCTCTAAATATTCAAACCTGTGCACACCTCGGCAGGTCACTTCCAGCCTCCATACTCATGCGTAGCCCATGGTTGGTCTTTGTGGTGAAGGAGCTCTGCAGCCCCATCCTCGCCTTCCTCGCGGCGGGGCAACCCAGCGAGGCCGCTCTCCTCCAGGCCCAGCAGCGTGGCTTCGGGCGCTCTGACGGTTGCGCACCCCTTGTAAAGGCAGGAATGACCACTGAGCAGGTTTTCTGATCCAGAAGACTGGGTAAAGGAGGAGTCAGAGTCCTCAGTGGCTTTTGCAGGTCTCTTATTGGGATTTACCCAGTACACGGCAGGCAAAAGTGCAGGCCTCCCAGCCCATCCTCACTCTTTCTGGGCTCTTTGGTGTTCTGCTGCTTCTCGGCTTCTCTCTCGGCTCCTGCTGGCGTCCCCGTGATGCCACCTTTAAAAGCCCAGTCTCAGCCCAGGTGAATCTCATCTACCTAGGCCCACACCCTACTCCAGGTGCCCGCCATCAGGCATGCATTCAGGACCGCAAGGATCCATCGTCTATCCTGATGGCGGGAGGGCAGAAAAACCTGATACCTTTTACCTTACCCTACACCCCTCTCCTGTGCTCGCTCTCCACGCGCCGTGTTCACGGCCCGGCTGTGTGCAGATGTGAAGGTGAGAGGGTGTTTGTGAGTGGAGATAAGATGTCTTCCCTGCTTTCAAAGGACTCACCTTGCAGAGCGATTGGCATACAAAATAACACCACAAGGGATTAACCGGGGTCGGAAGGAGGTCACTCAGGGCCCAGAGAGGAACATGTTTCCTGTTACAGAGACCACCAGCCTTGGGTTTTCAGGATTCCCTCCCGGTGTCAGGAGTCAGATGACTTGCCCTGATTTCGGTTTCAAGAGAGGCTGCTATTGAATCCCATGCCAGGTGAGGAGCGATGGTGTGCTGAGAAGTGGAATCTGAACATCATTCAAATAGATTCAGATTAGGAAAAAAAAGTCTACAGGTGTTTTTATTATTCCAAGTGTACACTTGTGTTGCCCTTTTGCTTTCTGCCTTTGTAGTTAATATCTTTAATAACTTTTATTAGTAATAGTTTTTGTAAAAACCAGACAAATACCCTTCCCTGAAGTAAACAGTGAAATAATATGAAATAATCTTCTTTGAAGTAATTGAAATGAGGCCCTGCATACATTATGTTACTGGAATTTCAGCTTACCTCATTACTGTAATTACTCTTAGCATTGTGTAGATCCATAAAATCAAAGATTTTAATTCAGAGAAGGTTCATTACCTATTGTTGAAACAGGAATTAAGCAGATAACGTTTTAATGGCTTGGAAGACAGTAGTGCTTTGTTAATAGATTTCTTTCCCAAGGTCTGCAAAGTTTCATTTATTCTCAAAAATGAATCACTGACAGAGATGGCAAGCATTTTACTCACTTTGTGGCCTATGTATAAGCCCTTCCTTCTGGAAAGTTCTTTATTCCTGATTCATCTGACTGTAATAGCTTCAACCATTTGCTGAACTTGAGCTCCATGCCGGGCTTTGGGGAAGGCACTTAACAACACAGAGCATCTCAGCCCTCCTAGATCTCTGTGCTTCAGCTGGGAACTGGGGCTGGGGAAGATTGTCCTTAACAAGGTCACACAGCTGCCTAGTGAAAAGGCTGGGACAGGAAATTGGTCTCTCACCCAAAAGCCTTTCTTGTGTTCGCAGCACCAGGCTGCCTGTCACCCAAATTCACGTGTGTATAATCAGAAGAACTAATCGGTTAATCCTCCCGGAATTTTCGTCTCGTATTTCTTTCAAATATCCAAACTCAGTCCAAAAATGCCAACATATTTTCTCCCTCAAGCCCTTAAAGTGTCCATCAGCCTTCGTCAGGGGGGTGGGATTTTCCATAAACCATACACTCGAGTAAATTCATAATTGGTTAAAAAGTTAGCTGTTTATAAACGTCAGAAAAAAATTGCGTATAACCCAGTCTTTTGAGGATTTGCAGCTTTCAAGCTTCAAGGCAATAGGAAAAAGATCATAAAGGAACAGATTCTTTCCTGACACTATAAAAATGCAAAATTTTTATGAAACGGCAAGTAACCGGAGCAGAGTTGCAAACAACAGAGGGGAATGTTCATTATCACTAAAATCGGGGTTAATATTGAAGTCATGCAAAGACTCCTTCACACCTGAAAGAAACATGTTGCAACTCCAGCAAATGAGTAAAGGATATGATCCAAGAAAAAGTCAGAATGAGGGCAATAAATGGCAGAAATCCATCCTAGCAAATAAAGCGCCCTCCTCGAGGTACCATGCTGTGTCCCCTAAATTAGCAAAATGATTTTCTCTTAAAAGTAAAACACCCAGAACTGAGAAGCTGCCAGGAAGCTGACCTCCACTGGCATCCCTGTGGGGCTACACCCCCTCCCAGCTCAGCCCAGAAGCCCCTCACACGCTCCGCCCCAGGGGGCAGCCTGCTCAGGCCCCACGGACACACACCTGGGGCCACTTAAACCCACAACTTACTCCCCACTTGCTATTCTCAGCGCTTGTTTAGGAGAAGCTAGACCACAGTTCCCCGACCCTCCCCCTGCACTGCCAGGCCCTGAGGCAGCCAGCATGCGTCCCCACCTTTCTGTGGGACCCTCCTAGCACCCCAGGGTAAGTGTTGCATCTCACTGGCTGAGCTTTGGAGTAGGCATGCTCGGCCGGGACAGTCGGCGGAGAGCTTTTGGAGGGTGGATGCCCACCGGTCCCTGCCCCTCATGCCCACCCTTCCAGGACATGGCAGGGACCTGATCATGAGGCTGTCGGCCTGGAGAGAAAAGAAGCCGAGGGAACCCCTGTCTCTTCCTCAGGCTGAACAAATCCATCACTGCTTTCTCAGCCCCCCAGGCCCCCAGAGGGAGGGCTAGTGAGTACACAGAAGGAGTGCTACAGGTGCCTGGCCTTGAAGACTTACTGGGGCACCAAAGCCAGCCGTGGCCTGCAGTGCTCGCATCCATTGCTTTTCATCTGTGGACTTTATCAAACATTGGCCTGTAGCTTCCTGGCACATGCTCTCTTCCCTCCTGAGGCTTAGGTGGAGGGATTCTCTATTTCTAAGGGAGAGCTGAAATAACACACACAGAACTCGGGGTGTGTGTGTGTGTGTGTGTGTGTTACACACGCATGGAGGCAGCAGTGTGGCGAATGGCAGTGAGCTTTGGATTACTATTCATTTATATTCATCCCACAAATCTTGCAGAGCACCTAGCGTGTGGCCCCACAGTGGGGGTGACGGGCTGGGGGCTGCAGGGTGGACAGAGGGCACGAGAGCTTGGTCTGGAGAAACCCGAATTCTGGAGGGGTCAGGCCGTCCACGGGACGGTACTCAGGGCCGAGGCTCCTGGCCCAGCTCCCTGGGGAGCCGCCAGATGACACAAGCCTTGACCTCACTGCAGCCCCGTTTCTTCCTCTCTCAGATGAGACTGTGGCTGTTTTAAAGGGATATTTGAAGGCTTTAGAGGGAGCCCCTTGTACGTGGGTGGCACAGGCTGTGGGGTGAGGGCGCCACCTCCGAGCGTGTTTCCCAGCTGTGAAGTGGCAGAGCCAGGCGGGGAGCTGGGAGGAAACAGCCGTGAACAGCACCTCTGCACCCTCAGGGGGCGCTGGCCCGCCTGGCGCCCCGTTCAGGAAAGCTAGTGTTCTGTACCGGCTGCTTCTCTCACCACCTGGCCTCTAAAAATAAAAGCAAACCAGAAAATGTTAGTTCATCCCGAGCGTCTTCCACAGTCGGGGTGGTTGAGTGGCGTGTCTGTGTGTGGAGGAAGTGATAGGCCCGAGGAGAGGTGCCCAGGGCTTGCCGCGAGTCTTCAGCCCTGGCGCCTGGGGCTGACCAAAGAGACCAAGTCCAGGAACGAGAGTCCTTAACGCAGATGGCCTGGCCTCGAGACGCTGCCCCTCTGGCGGGGAGAGGGACGTACTGTGACCATGGTCCAGCACGGAGAGGCCTGTGTGTGGCACCTTGGAGTGTGGAGCAGGAGGAAGGCTCTTGGCCGGGAGAGTTCTAGAAGATGGCACCAAGAAGATGGCGCGGGAGGCTGTGTGTGTGGTTTTGAAGGGCTGTAGCGAGGAGCGGGCCCTCTGGTAGTCTGCAGTCCCTCCTCTTCCCAGAGGGGGGTTTCGTGCGTGCAGGGTGTGGACGCAGCTGACCTTGCCCAACGGGCAGCCTTGGCCTCCTGGCAGCGCGGCAGGAGGGGCGCGGTGTGGAGAAGAGCTGGTCTAAACGTGAGTTAATTGGTTTGGAAATGCCACCGTCCTTCTGAGGTGCCTTCAGCCAAAGTCATTAAAAGTGCGCGGTGACATTAAGAGGAACCTGTATTATGACACCCCCGTATAAATGAGGCGCCCTGAATGTTGATGTGTGCTGAGGGCTGACTTGATTCCTTATACAAATACGGACATGAATAGAAAATAGAGAAATAGACGCTGAGGGACACGCTACACAGACCCAGACGACGAGACCGGGGAGAAAGGCCAAGGCTGTGAGCCGAAGGAGTCTGTGGAAATGCGTCTTGGAGAGGTAAGTGTGCCGCCGAGCTTTCTGGAGGCCTCGGCAGGAGCGATGTTCAGATCCCCCCCCCCCCCCACCACCCGCTGGCGATTCTGGCTGTCCCGGCAGGGTCGATGGGCATAATTTCTCGATGGAATAGAGAACACCATGTACCTTTCTGGAAGGAATTTCTCCTTCATGTAGACCTGTGTAAGGGAGAGGTCAGGGGTTAAGAACATGGACCCAGGAGAGCCTGGGGGCCGCTGCTGAGCCGTGAGCCTCGCCCGCTCATGTCTTGCCTGTCTTATGTCTTGAAGGTGAACGATTCCAACTGTGACCCCGAACTTCTCTCCCTGCTCCTGGACGCCCAGCTCGGGGTGAAGTGTGTCTCCACCCCCTTCTTCCCGCGCCTCCTGGAGCACCTCCTGGCCAGCCCGCAGCCGGGGCGCTGGGACGCCGAGGAGCTGGCTCGGCAGCTGCGGGACGCTGGCCACGTGGCCGAAGCCGGGTCTCTGCTGCTGGCCGCCAGGGGGACGCATCGGGCCCTGAGAACTTTCAGCGCTGCCCTCGGCGCCGGACAGCACTGGCTGTGAGGCCCGCTGCGAAGAGCGTCCGCCACGGCTGCTGCTCCTGAGGCCCATGCGTGCCCGTTGATGTTCTCAGCGGTTCCCACAAATTGCAAATAAAGATGTAGATAAATGATGAGCAAGGGACCGTTTTCTACTTTGCTTAACCCACTTTCCTAAGAGTCACTCGACTTCCTCCTGTTTATTTTCGGGACTGCCTTGTCTGGTGAGAATCCAGGGAACACCATGTCTAAGGCTGCGATTCTGTCTCTGGGGGTAGGGAAGCCTGGTGGTTGGAGCAGGTGTCCCGAGGCGAACCTGAATTCAAGTCCAGGTTCCTCATGCTACCTTGGAAGGGCACTGCAGCCCTCTGGTGCTGGTGCTGCAGTCTCCGAGTTAGGATTTTAGGCCACGGCCAGTTGGCCAGCACCAGCACATGTGAGCTGCCTACTTGATAGGCCTCAGACTTACCGTCTTCATCCTATTAAGGTTGACCAAGCGCAGACGCCCGTGAAGCCTGTGTAAGCGGGCGGAGGACTAGAGGCACCAGGGGACTTATCACAGGTAGGATGGGCAGGTGGGGGCCATTGTCTTGCATATAACCAATCTTCGCGAGGGTGTGGACAGTAGCACTCTCAGGAAAACCACACAGAAAGGGTGCTCCAGCCCAGGAGGACGAGGGTCCAGCCCAGGAGGACGGGGGTCCAGCCCACTCGCTGGTCCTCACACACACTCAAATTTCACAGCTTTGCTTGCCTGAAAAGCGGCCCCAAGATGAGGGCCATCGGTGTCAGCTAGTCTGGGGTGACCCCTTGAGGCTTCGGGCGCACTGCTTCATCTTCCTGAGCCCCATTTTCTTAGGCATGAGTGGGACTAATAATGCCTTTTAGATAGTAGCAGTTCAACAAAATAATGCAGTGTCCGTCCAGCGGTGCCATCCTCTGCTCCAGCTGGAGAAATTCTTCCCCCAAACATATGCCCCACCCACGCTTTAAGCCCATTAACTCTTTTAATCCTCATGATAACCTTGTAAGGAAAGGAGGTACAGAGAGGGTAAGTCATTGCCCGAGGTCACAAACTGGGGGTATCCTGACTCGGAACTTCTCTCCAGCGTTTTCCATACGGGGATGCCCGGTCCCTTCCTCTGTCCAAGTTACTCCTACTATTTCCTGGGCCTTCTTCCCAGGCAGTGGGGAAAGGCATTCTAGCATTTGGTAAATTTGCTTATAGCACTTCCTTTTGTTTTTTGCACTTTAAATGACATTTTTCTTTTCTCTAGCGATGGCAATAAAAGTCACAAGGTTGGATTTATTGAGCACCTATGTGTACGCATTATCTGTTAGCCACAGACCACTCCAGTGGATACAGTCCCCCATTTGATGGAGAGAAAACCGACTCGGAGGGTTAATTCACTTGCCTAAGAGGGAGGCTCAGGACTTGAAGTAAGGCTGATCTGATGCCAAAGCCCAACTTGAGATTTTCTTGAGATTCTCTGTGCACCCTGCTAACCATCCCAGTGGCCTGAGGTCCTTAAGGCTCATCCATGCTGTTGCATATTTCAGAATCCCCTCCCTTTTAGGCCTGCATGGCACACGCACCCCCTCCCAATGTGGATACACTGGACACGGGTTGCGAGCAGCGGGCAGTTCTTACCTCCTGTTCGTATTCTTCATCTCTCACGGCAGAGGGTGGTGCTATGACAGGCTCTGCCAGGGGGACCACTGGGGGCTCTGGATGGCATTTTGTTCCAGTGAGTCCTTGATTGAGTTGAGCTAATGACCTCATAGGGCCTCCTCGGGAGTTCTGGGAGCATGGGGTCCAGGAGCATGCCCCCTCTCCTCACCCCCAGCACTGCTGTGGCTCCCCCCTTGGCACATCCCTCAAGGTGGCTGTGCTGTAGAACCCGGTCTGCAAAGGTGGCCTCTGCCCCTGCAGACCCGCAAGTCAGCAAGGCGGGGTGGGCTCACAGGGCAGAAGGGGAACTGCAGGAGGCTGAGGAGCCAGGGGCCTTGGCTGCTCCCAGAGAATGGACTGACTGCGGCTTGGGGGAGAGTTTGGTTTTTTCCTCCATGACGTTATTTTTCTATAGAAAAGACTTGCTTTCCTACCCCTAGAAGAGTGCTTCTAAAAAATAGAAGGTATTTTTTTCCTCAGAAATAGTTGCATAGTGAATTTACCTCATGTATTTCACCGTGGATAATCTCAATTTCTTCTGGGCCAATTGAGGAAATAAAGGAATAACCCTCCCAATATTGAATTTTGCATTTCTTGCATAATCTCAAATTCTTGCATTTCATCAATAAGACGCAGGGAATTGTGGTGAAGCTTTGGCTCACGAGTCCCTGGCTTTAGCCACGATATTTTATCTTAAATTTTTATCTGTTTTCATAACCAGCGAGACCGGCTTACAGCGAGGATTTGCGCGTGCTCTCGGGATCGAGTGTTGAGATTTTAGATGAACTAAATCTAGCTTGATAAAATGAAAAGCATTTTTCAAGAGTAAATTTGCTGATCTACTATGATGAGTATTATCCGTCTTTTGAAAGTTTGGAAGAACTCATTCAGACCATTTGAACATCGCATCCTTTTGCAGTTGTTCATTCTTTCATAATGTTTCGTTTTTTTAAAATGATAACTGGCTTGTTCACATCTCCCTCTTCTTACCTCAGTTGGGAAATACCACTATTTTTCCCAAAAAGCTCTCCTTTCTTGAGATTTCAAACTCTCCACTTCTTGACATTAGCATAAAGTTGTGAAGAGGTATTCATCTTTATGTTTCAGCCCCAATCTCGGCTTGTATTCAATTTATGATTTCTCATTGTGTGTTGGAATATTCTCTCCTTTTTTGCTTAGACAAACTGAAGTTTGTCAGGGTTGTTTTTGCTTTTGTGACAGTTGAAAAGGTCGCCTGTGGCCATACCTTCTAATTTCCTATTGTTGTGTCCCCATTCATTTCTAACAGCTGAAATTGCAGGTTTTAAAAGCAATTTTATTATTTATTTGTCAGTCATTTACATGCCTATATAACTGGAGTTTATTTTCACACCTCCACAAGCACATAGGCTCCCCCCACCCCCCACCCAGCCTCCCCTGCCCCCACCCAGCCTCCCCTGCCAGAGCCAGGCCCCCCTCCCCTCACCCCCCTCCCTCTGGTCAACAGTTCACTCTTCAGAGCCGTTTGAATTGCTTTGGCTGTGCTTTGCCCCGAGTGCTCTCAGTGCTCACTCCACCCGTGCGTGGAACCGTCCAGCATCTGTCTTTGACTTTCTGACTTAAGAAATTGCAGGTTTTCAAAAGTTGCTGAGGAGACTTGCTTCCCTGACTGAGGTAGACACCTGCTGTTAGCTTCTGAATGGTTGTGGTGTCTCTGCACCGTCTGCCTCCTGACACCTGGTACCCCCGTCACGGACCCGTCACAAGCTCCCATCCCCCAGGTCCTGTCCCGCCAACCCTCTGAGCCCCTCCACCCAGGCCTTCTTCACCTCCAGGCCACCCTGACCCCAGACCCTCCTTCACACCCTCCCTCACCCCAGCCCCTCCCTCACCCCAGGCCCTCCCTCACCTTTAGGTCCCACTGAGTATTTTAGGGGTGTGGAAAGGCACCCCATCCTCACCACCTTGCCTTATTTCCTCCCTCCTTATTGCTGGTGCCTCTGCCACAGGGAGGAGGCCTTCAGGTCCCAGGAGCAGTAAGAAGGAAGGTCCCAGGACAGACGGGATTGCTGGGCCTGCAAAATGGGGGCTCCGCAGCCCGAGAAGCGTGGATGTTGCTGACAGAGGACAACTCAGAACCAGGGGAGGGGTGACTATGCCGCAGAAGGGACCAGGTGCAGAGGGCCCCTGGGAACTGGGGTCGAGAGAGAGAGAGAGAGAGAGAGAGAGAGAGAGAGAGAGAGAGAGAGACAGACAGACACAGCCACCTGCCCCAGCCCCTCTTCTTCTCCATCAGTGTCCCTGCATTCCGCCTCCTGCGGCCTCACTGTCTGCTCCCACACTGGAGCCTTCTCCAGCTGGGCCCTTGGCCCCCTGGGCTCTGGCCGGCCTTAGCCTTAATGACTGGGCCCCCGGAGGGAAGAGAGCCTTCTCCGCTTCCTCCAGACGGTGCGCAGACGCCGGGCCAGACTGGCTGGGGTAGTCTGTGCTGACACCAGCCCCGACTCTGTGGCGCTGGACCTGATGAGGCCTGGAGCTCCTTTAGATTGCCCCAAGCAGGGGCCTGAAGCCTAGAGAGGGGCGGGCGGGAGGTCCTTGCAGTGTGGACCTTGTTTCCCCCAGGCCTGGCCTTTGCTGAGAGACAGCCCGTGCAGCAAGAAGAGGAGATTCTGCTGCAGCGACCCCAGCTCCTCCACTGAACCTCAGCACGGCGCCATGTCTGCTGCAGGCACCAGGCGGGCTCTCACCCTGTGACCTTTCTCACTTATAGACTTGCTGCAAGGGAGCGAAAAGCCACCCCAGCCCCTTGGCCTTGTCATTCCTTTCAGGAACACCTGCAGGAGTTGCCATGGCAACGGGCTCCCGCAGCTCTCCGCCTCTGCGCCCCGGGCTTATTAGCTCCTCACTGGCTCCTAACCGTGGGCTGTGTATTGTGGGGCCAAGGAATTTACCAGAAAAGGGTAAATGCAGTGTAAGTTCAGGACTCTTGGAGGCCTCCAGCTGGTCTATCCCCAGGGATCAAGGTCACTGGAGGCAGCGCCATTGCTCAGGTCCCCATTTACGGATAGCCTTGCAGGGTGGGGGTGCAGCCAGGCCCACATGGTCTCCTGCTCCCCCTGGGCATGTTCCTGCACTCGGGGTGCAGAGCAGCTGGTCCCGGATTGAAAGCGGGGTTCTCCGTGTTCTTCTGCCCTGACAGCACTCTGCAGGTTACAGGGCACATCCCAGCCTGGGATCCTCAAGACAACAGGTGAGGCCACAGAGGTGAGGACAGGGTCAGTGACATCCCCAGGGCTGCCTGGCACCTGAGGGTCAAAGCAGGAATGCAAAGGGGGCATCTGCAGATCCCGTCCTCCTTCCACTGTGTGCCTCTCTCTGGCCCTGTCCCCACTGTCACAACCAGACTCGGCCAGGTGACACCTGCAGACTAGCCTTCAGCTCCAGGGTCAAGACGGGCGGCATGCAGCTTTAGGTATTGCTTCCTGTGGGGGTAAAGGACATCCATGTTTG